TATATATATAGGGGTCAGGTGGCGAAAAAATTTTTTACTATGAGCTGTACGCAGAGACTTTTTATATGAGTAGTACGCATAATTGACATCTGATATTGAAAATCCTGCAAAAATATGCAAATAAAATTTCAGACATTAAGTTATTAATTATTTTATCATGACTTCTATATTATTTATAAAACCAAATACTAATTGAAAAAATAGAATTTACTATTTTTTTAATAATATTTTTCTAAAATTTCACTTTTTAACCCTTAGAAATTTCTTTCAATTTATACTAAATATTACAATGTGGTTAGTACGTACAGTAAATATATTATATATATATAAGATTAGCCAAATTTAGGCCAAAAATACGCAAACTAATTTTTTACATATAAAAATTTTGATAAAAAATACGCAATCTTGATGACCTAACTATAGATGAAAAATTCTAAAATTGTATGCAAATCAAAACTTTACTCCATCTAATTCCACTATAATGGTGACGCATCTGTGTACCCTAGAGTTTGGAATCGATTAAGGTTAATCGATTAATTAATCGACTAAGATGGTTAATCAATTAAGGTATCTCAAAAATCGGTTAATCGATTAAAATTATCAACCCATAATTTTGGTCAAATTATTTAATGCGGTTCAGAGCTGTAAATTTTTGGTCATGTGTTCTCTGAACTTGCAAGAATTTGTATTAATTTTTTAATGATAATAATAATAAATAAGACTTTCCTATAACTAAATATATGATCAAAAACAATTTGGTGCAATCTGCAGTCAAAAAAAAAAAAAATTTTAATATTTTAATATTAATCGATTATTAATTGATTCCTGTATATATATTTCTGGATCCTATAATATCCTTTAATTTTTCCTTTATAACTTCAGATGTATGAGAATAATGAATAGTATGTTGAAGAGTCAAAAAAGCTTTTTTTAGATTAAAATCATTTGAAATCCAGTATGCTGTTACACCAATGTATTTTTGTTGACCTCTTGATGTCCAAAAATCTGTTGTCAAACTTATTTTCTCTACTTTCTCAAAAATATCTTTCAATTGAGTTTGTCCAGCTTTAAACATATTATTTAATAAATTTTCTAATACTTTATCAGTTAGTAGTTCAAAGAAAAGATGCAATAATAAAAGCAATTCCTTAAAACTTTTGCTTTCTAAAATATAAAAAGGTTGTGAATCTTCAACAATAAATTTCAATACTTTTTTATATAAAAAATTTAATTGATCTTTAGTTAAAGGCCAGATTTGAACTACAAAATCTCTCATATCCTTTTATCCTTATGCATGGGCCAGCTGAAACAATAATTAGAATTAATATTGATACTATTCATAATAATGAAGAATATTGGGAAGAACTAAATAAATTTAATCCTGATAAATAGATGGTTAAAGGTTTTGAACCAAAGAAAAATTTGTTTATTATATTTGGTGAAGGATTAAGAGTTTGTCCAGAAAGAAAGTTGTTAAATGAATGCCTTGATCTTTTTAAAATAAAGCAATAAAACAATTTAATATAATTGATGTTTAATTAAATCTCTTCTATAGAATTATTAAATTATTTACCATTTCTTATTCCATTGGATTTGAAATTTTATGAATTTTTTTCAGATGATTAATCATATTTGTAGTAGTTGAACCATTTTCTACTTTGTGGTTACATATTCCATCAGGATTTTTAGCAGAAACTGGCACAGTAACTTGGCAATAATTAACATTATCAATTGTAATAAAGTGATTCCAAACATAACTTTGCTTTGGCCTTCCAGTTTTTATTTTTTTTAAAGATCAGTTTTTATCATCCTGTGAAAGAAAAGTTCTTTTAGATGATAAATTACTTTGTTCACTTTCATATGAAAAAAAATCTTCAATGTTGTTATTATATTCTATTTCTTGACCTTCTTCCATAATAAATTTATAATAGTCAAAAGAAAAAATTAGTTATCAAAGAATTTTTTTTATCAATGATCAGTCTATTTATTCTGTACACAAATAGGCGTCAAATCAATAAAATCATGTAAATAGATTCGAATCTTATAAAATATTCAAATTTCATATGACATTCAAATATTAGATGATATTCAAATCTAATGATATATTTAAATCTATTTATAGATTTGAATTTTAATATCTCAGTTTCGAATATAAACTTAACTATGATTTACAAACAAATGTTTAAATATATATCCTAATTTCAAATGGAAGCTCTATTAAATATAATCTCCATCTGATATTAAAACAGAGAAAAAAGATCAATATATTTCATGTTCCTATTTGAGATAGATTATTTGATAAACTACTTACTACCTAGATACTCTATAACTTTACATGCCAACAGGACAGCATTTTGTAACGTAAAGTCACTCCACTGAATATTCTCATTCATTATACTGTATGCTATCTTATATTGAACATTTTTTTATAATCTTTAAAAATTTTGATGGCACTTGCACTGTTCTTACCATAAAATTTAAATTTAAAAATACCTATATTTTCAATAATAAAGTTTAACATACAAAGAGTATTCGCATTTCTGAAGTCTGTGTTAACTTTAGAGTATTGTTTTGTCACAAAAGCTTTTACAGTTTTGGCAGGATAATGCTTTAATTATCAACTAGGAATATGTAAAGCTCTTTCTCAATCAAATTATATAAAGTTTCTATAATCACGCCTTATTCATTTATGGAGAAAGATAATTCTTTTTGCATTGGTAGTAAAGTACATCTTTTAATGGTTAAATGTTGTCTGGTGTTATATCTGTCATACCTTGTTTTGTTGAATTCTACATTCTTAAAAAATAATAGGTTTAACTACTTCATATTTACTGCAGATTTCTTATGGAATTTTTGATCTTTATTTAGAACATCATAAAGTAATTTAAGTATGGATTTTTTATCCACCTTTAGCAGACAAGTACTTTGCAATTTATCTAGTATAGATTGAAGAGTATCTTTAACGTGTTTTTCAATTACTTCAGTTTTTAGGGGTATGCCAAAAATCAGCTGATTTGAAAGGGGGTGGGGGAGTCAAGCTTCAAATCAGGTCTATATATATCACGTGACATTTATATATCTAAATATAAATGTAAGTAATTTAATTATTTTTATATAATTATTATAATGCAATTATCTTGACTTCTAGTGATTCAATTTTAATAAACTTTTTTTAATTTATAGCTTTCATTTAGCACTACAAATCTAGATTTACGAAACAAAAAAAAGTTTGTTCAAATTGAATCACTAGAAGCCAAAATATTTGTATTTACATTATAATAATTATTATAATGCAATTATCTTGACTTCTAGTGATCCAATTTTAATAAATTTTTTTTTAATTTATAGCACTCATTTAGTTCTATAAATCTAGCTTTACAAAACAAAAAAAGTTTGTTCAAATTGAATCACTAGAAGCCAATATAATTATATAATACTAATTATTATATATAAGGCCAAGTAAATAAAATTATTCATTTCTCATAACCGGGCGGGTCATGTAAATGTTACAAAAAGATAAAGAAATTTATTTTATTTAGTCATGTAATTTTAGTTTTAACCAATCATAATCATAAAAAAAATAATTTTTTTTTTCCACCCGATAATCTAGGCAAAAAATTTATTAAATCAACCAATTATCTTTTAGGAATCAGCTAAATTTTTTTTGAAAAATAAATTTTTTTTTTTGGCAGCTGGGTCAAATTTAGCAATTTTTTTTCATGAGAAACAAATAATTTTATTTTTTTGGCCTAATATTTAATATTTAATAGTAATAATTTTTTTAGCCAATCAGATTTCAATTAGGTAGGAATGGGGTTTAGGCTACTAATTGAGAGAAATCAGCTGATTTCTGGTACGCTCCTTATTCAGATTGAAATTTTCATAATAAAGAAAAATATAAAAGATCAAATTTGAGGTCATATAATCATAGGATAAATTTAGAAAATAGTATTTTAAAAGTAAATTCATTTATTAATTAAAACTGTTTATATAATTCTTTTCAAAACTTAAATTAACAATTGGAGATCATTTGATCATTTTTTTAATCGACTATGAAGTCATTCAGAAATATAAGTAACTACATATTTTAATAAATAATACAAACCTTTATAACACGTCCAACATATTCAACACATTCAACACATTCACTATATATTTGTATAAATGACTATAATAATCATTACATAATTTATATGATATAAAAGAT